GGAGCTTTTGTTCGAGAGCCTCTCATTCCCCACGGCAGACATCCCTGTTCCACCCATAGTTCAGTTCTTCCTCTAAAGAATCATTTCTTGGTCTCCTGCCTTGCATATCCAGCTAGAGTGAGCTCCCTCACTCGGCTGAGCACAGGATATTTGTCCGTGCACCGTGATGTCGCTAGCTTTTATAGGCACATTCTCCATAATAGAGAAAATAAAAAATGTCTCCTACTTCTTCTTAGCCTCCTATAGATGTTCAGCAGTCCCAGGAAGAAATGTAACTCTGTGACATTGTTGGGACTCATTTTCTCTTCTGTGGGATGGAGAAGTGGGATAGATGTTGGACCCTCATATTGTACTTTTCCAGATTACTTAACAGTTCCTCCAGTTTATGCAGATTTTCTTAAGACTCCATATGACAATGGGTGCATAGCCCCAGATGTAACTGTACTTTTCTGAGTACTTATCCAACTCCAAATGCTGGTAATACATATAAAGCATGTGATAATACCAGTTTAATTCTTAACGTAACATCTTGGAAGTGTTGGAAAGAGATCCTGATTCATTACAGTGAATCATTTTCCTCTTTCACACACTGAGTTACGTTGCTTTTTTAATTTCCACAAATCCAAATGGATCCATCTGCCTTTGGAATAGTCACCATGGGGGGAAGCCTATTCACTTTTGTCTGTTTTTTATATAATTCCCATAGCTTCTAGTCTCTCCACCTCTTTTTCCACAACCTCATTTAGAGCATATGGTACAGAGTTTGCATTCCTAAATATTTGCTGTGCATCTGGCCTCATTTTGATAGAAGCCTTAAACTCACATATGGATGGGGCCTTCAAATACCTGGTTCCTGATCCTCTATAGGATCACTACAGCACAGTATATTTTGGCGTGTTAGTCTCAAAGACTCCAAGACACCTTTGAAATATACAGTACGGCTTTTGCCAAGAAATTAAGTTAAGGAAAGTTGTTTTTTTATGTATACACAAGTAGGGGAACTTAATTAAGCCTTGTGTTGCTTACCTGTGTTGAAGTTGTATTTTGCTTCACAATAAAAGTGTTTTAAACAAAAGGCTTTTTTTTTTTTTACAGAAGTGCTAGTTCCAGCTGTTCTATTCTACGAAAAAGACTGATACATCGTTAATACAAAACAGGAACTACTACATTTAGTGGTTTTGCAACAAATGAATGCATCACAACGTTCGCTGTTATATGAATTATCCACCATATTGTCCGAATTACTTAAAAAACTGATTAGCCTAAATGTTTAAATGAAAGCAATTCAGGATTTAGTAGATTAATCAGCCTCCTCTTGCTCTCTTGATGAGGACAGTTATTAATCAGTTATTAATTTACTCAAATTCATAACTGTGATTAAAAAGCTTAAACATTCCCACAATAATTTGCATTTAGTTATACATACATACATTTATTTATCCATTCATTCATTCATACATACATACACCTTCTTGTCTCACAGCAAAAAGGTTGTGGGTTCGAGTCCGCAACCTTTCTGTGGAACTTTCTGGGTGGAGTCTGCATGTTCTCCCTGTGTCTGCATGGGTTCTCTCCGGGTTCTCCGGCTTCCTCCCACAGTCCAAAAACCTGCATGTTAGGTTGATTGGACATTCCAAATTGCCCTTAGGAGTGAGTGTGAGTGGTTGTTGGTCCTTGTGTGTCTCTGTGTGGCCCTGTGATGGACAGGGGACCGTCCAGGGTGACCCCGCCTCTCCCCATTGACTACTGGGATAGGCTCCACTCCCCCCGCGACCCCATTAGGGAATAAGCGGATGGATGGATGGATGGATGGATGGATGGATGGATGGATGGATGGAAATGCATACACACATAAATAACTGAAGGGACCTTGTTTTCCAATTGCAGTATGTATATATATATGTATATATACAGTATATACATATATATATATACTGTATAAAATGACAAATGGATATTTAGCATTGCATTCAGGTTTATGCTGCTTTCACAAGCACTAATCTGGTTTGTATCCATTTTCTTTGTGTAGTTTCCATGTTCTCCACTTGCATGCATGGGTGCTGTCTGCGTTCTCCAGCATTCCACTGAATTAATAAAAGAGAGCGAGCGTGAGACTGAATGGTTGTGTGTGTGTGCATGGGCATTGGATGGAGTGGTAACCTGTCCAGGATGTACCCTGACTCCAACCAACTGAATCCCAAAAACCCTGAATTGTGTTAAACTGGTATAGAAAATGGATTAAATGCGTCAAATGCTCAAAAATCTGTCAGTCCAACTAATACGTTATTGGCATGGCTTGTATGCAGTCACTTATCAAGTTTGTATATAATATTTTTTGCGTTGTATTACCATGGAAATAAAAGGAAACTATAGCATTTACTAAATAGCAGATGGAATACTTTTAATTTCGTTCTGAAATTTGAGCAAAATTAAACTCATTGCAAGTGCGTATATAACTTTAAAGTGATCTGGCTCTAATTCTTTGCTCTGTTACTCTTTACTAGAGACTCTTATTATACAGACCAATGCACGTTGTAATAATGTACTATTATAGCGCATATATCTTAGAGTCCATGTTGTTTTTGCATTCAGTATCATGAACCAATGCACAAAACATGTTCGAATAATGTTTTTGACTAAAAGTTCACACTGAATTAGTTTATGGCATGTTGGATACACACACATATGTATATATATATATATGTATCTTTCTATATATATAGCTAAGGCCAAACATACAATGATAAATATATGTATTTATATATGTATGTATATTTCTGATTGTATGTTTAATCTTAGATCCACTCAAGCTTTTTGAAGCAAATATCCTTATTATATATGTTTTTTTTAAAAACCATGCTCATTGCAGCTCCTCTGAGGTACAAACAGCTACCCTCTCTGGAAGAAGCCATGAGCGTGTGTCATGCGTCGCATCTATCATCCACAGAGAACATTACAAGCAGATGTCTTCCATACATCCCTCAGCCTGGCCTGGGTCCTCTCCCGAGGAAGCCGCGCACCTTTTTTGCGACTCGAAGTCGAGATCGCGCGAAAGCGAATATATCTCGTTCCACTCGGCGGGCTCCAGAGGCGCCGTCCCACTTCAAAGAGGGGAGAATTTAGAGAGAATAACAAAACACTAATCACACAGGGCAAGAAAACTAGTGCTGCACTGGCCTCTACAGGTTCAAAACAGGTTATTGCATTCACATGGCAAACATTTGATCCTGCATTACTCTACAGGGGCCCCCGCAAGGCTGGGCTTCCTGCAAATGTGTGACTGGGGTTGTGTAAGCGGGTGCTGCTTGGGAAGATGTGCTCCTCATTCACATTTCTCTATTGGACTCCTTTTTAGAATAGCTCTACGATGGATTTAAACCCCTCACAGTGGCAGGTCATTTTCGCGTGGGCTTTTTGCGACCTGATTACTGCCATCTACAGCCGGAACGCAGTTGTTTCGTCCCTCGAAACAGACCAGGGACAGAGATTGGGTTTAGATTTGCACTATTCTAACAAACAACTCTTAGATTAAATGCGTCTTTATGCTTCATGCCACGTCAATTTCAAATGGACACCGCAAATAGGAATCAAACTTCTCTAAAGGCGATTAATTCCCAAGATAAAGAGCAAAACGGGAGCGTTATCATAGTGGTGTGCAGTTTGTGGAGTTTTTGGAGCCACCATCTAGTGGTCACCAAGTATTTCTGCATCACTATCACCGTTTAAATGATGGTGATTGCGTCTACATCCACGGCCTCCACAGAGTAGAACTTCTGCGTGGAGACGAATCGTGTGGGAAATGGGTTTGCTTGAGAAAAAGAAACAGAAAAGCTCGGCAATTTTCTCGTGCGTGACATCCAGAAATATGCAAAAACCTGTTTGACAAAGTCATCTTTCTGTGCTGTTCACGTGGAAAGGCCACGCGAATGCACTAAAAATCATGATAAAATAGACATCTAAAAGGAGGCCATGTGTATTGGAACATTAGTGAGTTTGTGTGGGAATCAATAGAAAAAAAGAGGAGCCGGTTTTCCGTTTTTAATGCACAAAAGTGTCCAATAATGTCTGCGTTGCACGGTCATGAGTGACAGAGCATTTCCTCACGGGTGAAACTTCTGCAGTCGATGACTTGGACCCCACCCCCCACTGTCATTCCCCTCCCCCTTTTCCCTCCAACATTCTACATCTTGACTGCCAGCCTCACCTCAGAACTCTGCACTCCCCTCAGAATATCCCCAGTGTTCGTTCCACGCCAGAAATGTGACGGGTCAGACTGAAATGGCGTTTCTCGGAAACACACGCCACTCATTTGCCTTTTTTTTTTTTTTTGGGGAGTGGGGGTGGTCATTTTAGATGGAATTCTTCCAATTTAGCTAAATAATTACCCCAGTGTGGAGCGTTTGAACAATTTGACTGAGGTGATTATGTTTTTTTAGACTTTCTGAAAAGGTCCACGCTCATTTCTTGGAAAAACTAAACCTCGAAATGAACCGTGATCATTTACTGGACTTCTTTATTGCGTTTAATTGATTTCCTAATGAGTTTTCTTTATTTTCATACGGACTGGAGTGCACATTATGTGAGAAAACTAAATTTATGGAGGTCCCAGACGCAGGCCTCTGAAATGAGGACATTCCTGTTAGACTGGGTGGAATTTGAATGGTTCACAGGAACCGCCCGAAGCTGATTGGTGGAAAACGACATATTTTTTGGCGGACCTGTTTGTCACTCACTGCGTTCCGAGCATTTGATTGGCTCTTCCCCCCAGAAGGGGCGGAGTCCGGGTTGTCCCAGATATATAAAAATGCTCTGGTTCCACAGCGGTTGCAAATGATTGCTGGGCTTTCCTTTGGTTAGGGGTGTGTCAAATGTTCCCTCCAAGAGCTGACTTGAACGTTTCTCTTGGAACAAAAAACGAGCTCCGCTGAGATAGCTGAGAAATTAAGATCATCTCCCCCGGGGGAAAGGAGCAGGAGGTGAACCCGAGAATGATCAGCACCATGGAATGCGCCGCAGACGCTCAGAGCTTGATCTCCATTTCCCTGATGAAGATCCACAACTCCAGGACGCAGAGAGGGGGGATCAAGCTCCACAAAAACCTGCTGGTGTCCTACGTGCTGAGGAACGCGCGGCAGGTCTACATCAAGGAGAAGTACGCCGAGATCTACCGCATGCAGCAGTACGAGGAGGTGATGGCGGTCTGCAACGAGATCCAGGAGCTCGACCCGCTGGACCTGGAGAAGGAGGACGCGGACGAGGAGGAGCGGGAGGCGCCGGACGCTCGCTGCGGCGAGGGGCCGGGCGCGTGCGGCGCGCCGTGCCAGCGCGCGCAGCCGGCGGCGCACAGCGTGTGCGCGCCCGCGGAGGAGGACGACGACGGGGGCAGAGACCCGGGCCCCCAGTACTACCGGAGCTGCTGCGTGGAGGCTTGTCCGGCGCCGCACTGCGAGCAGTTTCCGGTCAGCGCCGGCGCGCACTGCAACAAGACCACGGTGCTGGACCTGGACACTCACGTGGTCACCACGGTGGAGAACGGCTACCTCCACCAGGACTGCTGCTGCGGCGCAATGCAGTGCGGCCAGAGCCTGCAGAGCCAGGTCCAGAACCAGGTCCAGGGCGCAGAGTCCCCGGCCAAAAAGCGCAAGGTGGAGTTCGGCTGTTGCGCACCCGACGCGGAGGAGGTGTCGGACTTTGCGGCGTTTCGCAAGAGAGCCAAGCGCGAGGACTGTTTCTACTCCACCAACCCAGACTACACGGACACTTCCAACATCTCCAACCTGATCTCCATCTTCGGGTCGGGGTTCTCGGGGCTGCTCAGCAGACAGGCGGACCTGGAGCAGATCTGTAGCAAACAAGCACTGGCCAGCCTCGGAGCATGGACTCGCGCAATAGTGGCATTTTGAGTCAAAGTCTTGATTCTAAAAAAAGAGACTGGCATCAGTTGGAACGTCTATCTCGTCCAAGTTTTTAGTCCACAAAACGGAACCGATAACGGTTTGGTAGTCGAGCGGTTTTTTTTCGTTTGGGAGCATTGAACTTATTTCCAAACAGTGTTAAAAACAATGTTCCCCTCACTCCCCCCCCCACTCCCCCTCCCTCCAATAGTTTACTGATTTACAGCAGAAAGAAACAAGTAACATGCGAAATTCGATTTGCATATAATTGCACATTCAGTAACTGGGAACCTTATAGAACACACAAATGTTGCTTGAGAAAATGAAATCAGAGTTTCGTCATGAATGGGACCTTATATGAGGACGTGGCAAATATCCTGGGAGACAAAAAAATTACTGCTTCTCACCTATGCTTTGCGCTCTTACAAATTCCATATGTGGGGTTAAGTTGTAAGGCACCTTAAGGGAAAATAGAAGAAAAAAAGGCTATTGGACAGGACTGCATCTCATTGGTCTTCTTAGAGATACACATAGCAAAAAAAAAAAAAGGAAGGAGTCTCTCAGAAGACCAATGCCATATACAACCCTTTTTTTTAAAAATCATCATAATTGGGCAAATGGTAACTTCATTTCAACATTCAGAAAAGTCATTCTCACCTGTGTAACAACTGAACCCCCCGCAGCCATATTTAACAACCTTGTGTTAATGTGAACAACTTTGACATGAGCTACCTTCGAAGTGTTTCGTGTAACGTGAGTTGAGTTGATGCAGAATTTATACCTCAAAGCACATTTGTGTCTTAAAAATAAATATGTGCGGTAGTGCGTTTGTTTGGATGACATCACTCACTTTATCCTGATTGGAGGGATAGGCGTTTCACCTGGGCCCGGCCTCCACCTTTGATGTCTGAATCCTCTTTATTTTTGCTAAAAGAAGATGAAATATTTATAAAAAAGAAAAAGAAAAAAAGAGTGATTTTATGACATTTACATTTGACAGGAAGTGGAAATCCTTGGTGCCACGTGCTGGCTTTTTTCTTGTTTCAGAATGAGAGTACACTTAGTGACTTATATCTAATGAAATGGATCGACTTCCGTTGCCTTAAATCCGATGCACACTACTGCTAGCTATTGTCACAAATTGAAAGTACGTTGCAAAAGAATGTCTCTACCATCCTCTCCTATCCTGAGCCATGGGGCCCCACTTAGAAATGGATCTTGCACACCCTGAGCAGCTTATTGGGACATGCAGCACCACAGTAAAGTCCTCTTTACCTTTGAGACACAGACTCTGAACCGGCTTGCATCACTCGATTCGGTGGGGTTTTTTTTTTCAGTGTTGTCCGTGCAACTCCACTCCCAGTGTGTTGGTGAATTGTCTTCTTCTATGCCAATGTGACATCCGTTCTCAATCACGGTTATTGCTCAAGCCTTTTCAATCCAACTCACGAGTCCAGCTTGCTTTTTTTTGTGAGGTTCACTTTGTAAGAAAAAGAAAAGATCATAGTCCTTTTGTTATAAAAAGGAGAACTCATGATTCAGCCATAACCTGAGAATCCATGCATTAGCTTTATGAGCACTATGAGTACCAAAATAAAGAGAGTATTCAGCCATTCTCTACATATTTGTTGTTACCCTTGTATTTTTGTGTCTATTAAAATTGTATATCACCGGGTAAAACTGTTTGAGAAAAATATTTGTTAAAATTTATAATCTTAATTAAAAGAATTTCTTCATATCCATCGTGTCTGATTAAAAGTATGGTGCAGCAATACAAGCTTTTTGTCAAACGGATACAACACATATTGATAAAGTAAGATTCCTACAGTACCAGTAGGTGTACTCTACATCATATATGAGGCTTTCATACATTTGTAAAAATCGTACATTAGCTTTTACAATTCTCCTATAGACCTGTAACTAATGTCCGCCTTCATCCAAAACTACAATAGTAATGTTGTTTTTTGTATATTACAGATTACAAATAAACACATATGTCTAAATTAGATACACATGTACTTAGATACAGCTTTAATATTTCCATTTATCTAGCTAAGCAAGCTAATAAGCTCCTTCTTTACAAGACCATACAGCACAGAAGGATATGGTTTCATAGTATTATAGTTATTTGATAGTTTTAAGTGTTTTTAGATCTTAAACAGGCGTGCAATCATAGATCACCTGAAAAAAAAACAGGACATGACACCCTTCTTATGTATTTTCCGTCATCCATTCAGAAATGAATGCTTAAAATCAACAGAAATGCAAACACTTAAAAGTATGTGAATTGCGAAAGCAATCAAGTTGTGTCCATAGATATTATTTCAGGACAATAGTTAACTTGTTGCACGTAACCAAATACAGCTATTTTTATTAATTATATCTGATATTATCATATCTGTAGCCTTACCAAACACTTGACATGCAGCGATTTGCATTAGCCCTCCAATTTACTGTGAATAATTTATTGAGAGGAAACATTTATTTGATTTTTTAGCTTTGTACAGATTTGAACAATAGAACAACATTACAGTGAGCTCAAACTAAACCGAGATGTACATTATTTTTATGCTCCCAAGCAAGTGTTACTGAGATATATGCACACAACAGTCAATTAAAAAAAGAATAATCCTCTCATCCCTCTTCTCACAGCAATGCTTTGACCCTGTGCGTTCACATGTGATTCACAGGTATGCCCGGGCTTTCATCTGACAGCAAAAACTTCGGATGCTGTTATCTCTGCTTTGTGCCACTTGGTGGTGTTCTTTAAAATCAATGAATGAACATATCAGAGTGGCTGTGTATACAGAGCAGAGCCACCTCAGGCTGACCCTCCCTCAAACTCTCCATTCTCAACACCCTCCTCCCCCCCCCCCCTCCTCTCTCTCTCTGTCACTCTCCTCCTCTTGCCTGCTGGATGGTTTTTTTCCACCTCTCATCGGTGAGGCATGGATTCTACCCCAACACGGCACATCCAGAGCTGACTGCTGCAGATCTGCAGGATTTTCTAACATGATGGAAGTGATTTGGGAATGAGAGCATAGCGCGGTGTAAATATGAACCAAATACACAAACACAGACTTGTTTTGAGGCTGTCTTTAAAGGTAGTTCTGAGCCCTCATTGAACCTCTTATCGACAATAATGAATAAAAAACCCCACGAAATAAGGTTAGACGCGTTTTGGCTCGGTTATCTGCGATATTGACGTCTGCTGTGGACAATGGTTTTGTTCCATGATGTGTACACAGCTCCTCCATCTGGAGTGGAAAAGACTTACACCTAAGGACACAGAAACACACTTACAGTATGCATTAAATGCCTGAGCAATCAAGGACTTTTTCACTGCTCAACTTAATTATGATAAAGTATGCATTTATCCCTTTAAAGCCTGATCCAAAACAAATAGGAAGAATATTGGATTTTTTTGTAGTCTGAAGTCTTTCTTTGGCCCCTCAACAACACATGAAGAAAAAAAAACAGAAAATTATTGTGATCAAATTAGCGTACAATAAGTCAAAAATATATTTTGGTGTAGTCTTCTACTGGCTGTTATCAGGTATATCTGAATGTGTACAACATGGGGTTTGAGAAAAGGTTTTACCACTGAATGATGCAAAAAGTGTCAGTTCAAAAAGAAAAAGAAACCGTATGTATCAAATATGATACATTTGGCATTATAGGGTTAAGTTTTATATACATACATGCATATATATATACATATATATATATGTGTGTGTGTGTGCGTACAGATGTATATGGGAGCTATAAACCCACACGTTCAATAGTAGTAAATGTGCACTAACAAACAAGGAAATAACTGTAAAAAGACTAAGTTGACTAAGACTAAATTAGATTTGAATGTAACTGCTTCAAAAGTCAATATTCAAACTGACCACCTGATCCAGCAGAAAGGGCTGGACCAGGTGGTGGGGGTGGTGTGTGTGCGGTGGGGGTGTTTGTGTGCTGGAAGAAGGAGGTGACAAAGACGACAGAGGGAGAAAGGGTGTGTGTGTGTGTGGGGGGGCACGTGCAACGGCAGAAGGTATAGTGGGACAGTTAGGGTGTGGGGAATAGGTGTACTATGATGGAGGGGGGGTGTGGGGGGGGGTCAGAGGTCAGTCAGGTTGCTCCGAGGTCTTCGATGGAGAAAACAATAGAGGGGAGGAGAAAGGGAGCTTTTGTCTGTTGAACCCAACACAAACCAAGGGGAAGATTGTGGATATTTGTAGTATGTAAAATACTATCACCACAGCACAATTGGTATATTCTGAATTTACTTTCTTTTGTTTACATGTTTGTTTTTTGCATCGGACTTTGTAGAGTTTGTAATTTTACATAACAATCTTATTGATTTCATGCTTATCTAATTTCCTTGTTAAAGGTCCTATACTTGTTTGGAAAAGAAGTGGTTAAGTTTAAGATAGTGCAGCATGATTTTAAAGTTTAAAGCTTATATATAAATGGCACAACTCCAACACACAACATTGTTGGGACTGAACATGAAATCCAGAGTTTTGATTTGAATAGTTTTCAAATGACATGTTCACAACTGGTTTGTCACCTCATAATCCTCAGAGGTGTTTCCAATTGGAAATATGAAAATTTTACTTATGGTAACTGAACTACAGAGTGATCAAGTTATGATGCACTCAAAATGCAAACTTCATTTGGTCTCTGAAGGAGAACAAAAGAAAGGAAAAGAAAATCTGCCACACTTTTTTTTATTTCCATGCTTATAATTTTGTAGATAGTTCATCTTCTATTTGTAATTGCCCTGTATAATACTTTAGCTATTTGAAAAATGCGTTATGAAATGTGGTCATATTCATAAATCCTTATTCAAATGAGGATGATTACGTTTTTCATACAATTTTCATATTAGAATAATTAGACCGCACCCTAATTTTAATTAATGAATGACAACAAGAAGTAGGCCTATGATGTATACTATATATATAAGAGATGCATACTAATTATGTTGTAAACCCCGCCCACATATTTAAAAAACAAACAGGACACATCCCCTTTATGAGCAGAATGGTGGACTCCCAAGAAAACTAGGGTATGTTTTGACTTGCTTAATGAGGACAAATATGCTGTGGCTTATTTAAATTTTCTCACCGACGTGGTCAAATACTCGAAAGAAATAAAAAACGAAGCCACACAGGCCACAGCCACGTAAGCTCTTCCAGGAGAACATCGATGAAGTGCTGATAGAGTCAGAACAGAATTGAAAAGGATATTTTTGCTTTGATTGGTGGGTTGGTTTAAAAAGCAGATGTCATTCAGCCTAGCACCAAATTTCAGATAATTTAGATATAACAATTTAGATATAATGTTGACCTAATTATTTCATTATTGACTAAGGTTTTTGTAGTTAAACACTAAATATACAAGGACAAAAGGAATGGGGTAGGGAAATAAACTAAACAAAAGCTCTGCCCTTTTCATACCTATATTCTCTAATCTTTACTTTTATTTAGCATTAAATTCCAAGAAGTTTGGAGGAAGCCACTGAAATGTCACTAAATCTTGAATGGGAAAGTAATTAAGTTACTTTCTGGTTAATATAGATGGAAAAAAAGTCCATTATTCCCTTATGGACAAAAGAACCCTGAAATATTGTCATATGTTAGTACAAATCGACTTAAAATCAAGATCAATAGTTGACAATATAGTTGGTTCTCACTTTTATTCTTCATCCTGATATTTTCCTGCAGCATCCCGTTACAGAAACGGTCTCCTTTGAAGACTTCTTTCCAGCCCAGACACGTCCGAATGGGTTGGAGCAGCTGTCCCATTCCAAACATTCCTCTTAATGAGGCCCACAAAATTCAACCCTCTGTTCACGTTTATATCGAGCAACACTAAATTCAGGCACATATTTGACCTATATCCAGAAAAACAATGCAAATCGACTTCTGCGCTACAAATAACGATTTTCCTTTTTGGTACCATAGATAAATCTTTAAACAATCGCCAGAGCAAAAGTAAGACATTGGCATGCAGTGAAGAAGATTTTTGTTGCCATTTTATTCAGATTTCAGAGGAACTGGGACACATTTAAAGATTTTATCTATGGTTAATCTAAAGGTAGCTTCAGGCTATTGTCAGAATATCTAGTGTTTTCTGTTAGATTTTTATAGAACAGGAACATTGATATTGTTCCTTTTTTTGTTTGTCTTGTTGTATTTGTTGCTGCTGTGACGATTTCAATTTCCCCTTTGGCGATCAATAAAGTTTTGTTATATTCTTTTCTATTCGATGTCTTCCAGAGCATGTCTTCTAGAGGTGGGCCTCAACCTCTTTAAAGGCAGATGTTCTCTGTTGACTGCCTCCAGCTCATGCGTGCTCAGGATAAGTAAAGAAAAAAGCAAGATCCTGTGTGATCTACTTTAATTTATTGGGCACATTTTCATGAGCCAGCATTACAGTATAAATAAAATGATGGTATCCCACCCAGATTAAACCGAATTGAATTTTGGGCTTATGTGATATTAGTTTTACTTCCTTTTCATAATGCCTTGACATTACTTCCTGGGATTTGTTGCAATATAAATCAACTGAACAGAGTCACAGAATGACATTGAAAGTTTTACATAAAAGTGTTTACATAAAAGAGCTGTGCTGGATATACTTAATTCTTTAAACTTCCAGTCATTTGAATCTTTTTTGTTTCATCTGAGGTTGTCATGAGACTAAACAACTATCAGCTGACATTTTTTAAACAAAAAATCTGCTTAAAATGTCATTTTTGGCCATAGAATCCAAGAATGACATCCATACATCACTATCTTCTCAAGTCAATGTCTTGAGAAAATATAGTAGAAATAGAAATAGTAGAATGGAAAGTGCATGAAAATTTTACCCTGGGTTCTACTAAAAAATATTGTACAAGCTAGATAAGGTTAAAGATGCAAGATAATGAGTGTTAACAGATTTGAAATTTTACAAAGTGATAAAAGCACTAGAGTACACAACACCATTGCATCTGGTCAGTGAGCAAAAGCGAGCTGGACTTCCTGTACCATGAAAAGAAGAAGAATTGTTATGCTTTTATACACAGGACCTCTGGAAGAAATGCTAGTAAATAAGTATCTGTACAGAACTTTGCTCTTATTCTTATTTTAATCGCCGTTTTTCTAATATATTAAAAGATTTTTGTAATATCCAGCACTATAAACGTTTGAGAATCAGACACAAAGACCTGCGACGCCATGTCTTTATTAGGATGAAATGAGTGCAGGGGTGAACAGGGAAGTTTAAGCTTTACCGAGATTCGGTGGTTGCACAAGTAGTGGTTTAATCTGAAACGAGACACAGCTGACATTCTGAATGAACAACATTTGTGTTAAGTCTCTCTGTTGCCTTTGGAGGGATGTGCTATTTTAGCATTCTTTAGGCCGGGGGAATTCCACCAGATCTACACAGACTGCAGCAGTAGAAAGTTAAAAAAAAAAAAGAAGAAAAAAAAGTTGTAAATTTCAATTGGAGTTCCCCTACTCTTGATGACCACATCTATTTACAGAAATCTTCATTCACATTGTAAAGTACTGTAAAGTAGACTTGCTAATCCGCCCCCCACCCCCGAGAATCTGGCCCCAGGGTTCATCCCCTTCTTCTTTCAAATTAAATGGAGGGACTCCTATATCCAACAAACTTGTAAACAAGATTGGGTCAAAATTCTTCCAAAACTATATAAGAAATTGATCATGTCATACAGAAAAAAAAAATGTTTTTAAATAGTTGCTGTTAAAGGTGGACATATTCTGAACTGTATGATAAACTAAATCTTTTTGACACATGGCATAAGCAGAAGAAAATGTGCAGAATAAGTTTCCTTGATCACAAGACAGGGGCCCCTTTGGTCTTATTAAATAATAAACTAAATGCCATGATCTTATGTGAACACACTGTGGATTCCTTTTCAGAGGGAGCAAAAAATGATATTTCTGTTTAGAAAGAACAATTGAAAGAGTAACAATCAATGAACAACCACATTATATTTCAAATTAAAAGTGCTTACAAGAATGAAGCTAATGGGTAGTTTTACTCAGTAAGGTAAGCACTGAGAGATGTCCATATATGGACATCTAGAGAGATGTCCATATATATATATATATATGTGGGGATGGACAGATAGATGTGTAGATGTGTGTGTGTGTCAAACATTTGGCATCGATAGCAAAAAAAAAAGAAAAAAAAACCTATAAAACTTGATTTTAATACTGGTTAGCTGAAGGATCCAAACACCCACAGAAAGGGAAATAAGTACAGAAATCCCACCATTTCTCTCATAAAGCCTCCGGACCATTACAGAAACATCGCCAAAAAAGAAAAAAAAAAAGGAAAAATTCAAAGATGCTCCAGATCCAGATGCCATCCGCAGCATGCCTCGTCCTCAGACTGATGACCGCGTGTGAAATATACGGTAGACACGCTGCTATATCGTCTACTGCTGCATTAGTTAACACGGATGCTGACCGAACGGGAGTGTGGTTGGTAGAAATGGTCGGGGATTTTGGTAGTTTCCTCCGAGTGCGTCGTATCAAGGCTTTGGTTGGATGGACAGCAGGCTGCCGAATTTGAAATGTTGGATTACAGGGAACTTCTCCAAACACTGCAAATAGAACAAAATCATAGGTTTACTATCAAGCACTCCCAGAACGAAACATAGTACTACTCGTAAGGTAAACCGGTTAAATGGTTATTTAGCTACCTGTGCATACAAATGTTCAATTCAATTGATTTACTCATAAAGCTACTTTCAAGCAAAAAGTAACACAGTGTTTTACATGAAAACATATTAAAAGCGCATTAAAAACACAGGGCTTGACACGCTTAACTGACCTAAGAAATTAATAAAAGCACCCCTCATGCACTCATGTACACACGCACGCACACAAACACAAATACATACAATACACCCCCCTTTCCCACCCCACCATGCTATCCAACCTCAAGTTACCATCTTTTTAAACTTAAAACCGGCCCGATGCTACTGTGAGTGGACGATATTCTGAGGAGGGGGGGAGGGGGGGGAGGGGGGGGAGGGTTGGAGCCCCCTCCACCCGTGACCACAGCGGAAACCGCACTGACCAGGCGGGCCGGGCCCCACACTCCGGCCGCGGGGCCGCAGAGATGGACCTCAAGCCAGCCGGATGAGGATTATTACCGTGACGACGACCCCTGCGGAACCCCCGGGATGGAGGGTCCCCGCGAGGAAAAGACCCGAGTTCAAAATGTTGGACAACAAGAGCCAGGAAAAGCAACAAACCAAAGTGTCAGTCAAAGGGCAGAGAGACACAATAAGTAAAGTTAGAAGTGATAGGGGAGATACATAAAAGAAACTAATAAATAAGGATACAAATTGAAAGGCCAGGTTTAAAAGGTCTTCAAAAAAAAAAACATTAACCCTCTATGGAGCCCCGAGGTTCTCTAGCAGGCTTTTCCAAAGACAAGGACCATAATAGTGGAATGAGGTTTCACCATAACTTTTGGTTCTGACTTTAGGAAGAATTATAAATCCGATACCAGAATACGGTATGTTCCACGAGGGGTCATACTTTAAAAGCAGGTCAGATAAATAAGAATGCCCAAGACCATCAAGACATTCATAAACAACTAAAAGAACTTAAAATGTGATAAAGTGATTTTCTTTTACTTAAACTTAAAGATTTCAGAGTTGCAGTCGGTAAAAGATTTAAATTCTCTAAATTTCTAAACCTTCAAATAAGTTACACTGATGCCTTTTATTATTTAAAACTGAATATGAGCCCGCTTAACATGAAAGTAAGCGTTTTCCACGTGGATTGACTTCACTTCTGTAAACCCAGTGATTACTTAAACTTGTATGGACATAACTTTGTTGTTTAAATACTAGTGTTCCACTGGTTTGAGGTTGTGTTCTGCCAGTTTTAACTAACAAAGTTGATGATCAAACCAAATCACACCCTTTTACTCCATCATATACAGGTGAGAATCTTGAGACATCTGGTTCCAAAACTAAACTTTGACTTGACCCAATAGCATTTTCAAAATATGAACATATGAAAAAAGTCATATTTTGTGGTTATGTCACATATTGCTAAATTCGTTCAACTATATTTTTAGCAAAATAAAATGACCAGAGCTGATGACAGCATTGTGTTTTATTAGACTATGGTGCTTTGTTATACGGGGTGAGATGTACATAAATATCCTTAACTGTATCTCAGCTTGTGGGCTAGAAGCTTTAATTACAGAAAGTGTAACTTTAGCGGTAAAGATACTGGATGATTATTGAATATTCTACTTAGCAGTTTCTACAATGAAATATCACTACCACTACTGATCAAAAGTACTAACAATCTGATTGGTCATTTTTAAATAACTCCTATTTGCAGCCTCTGTGGCACAATGGTCTTACATGGAATAAGACTTTTGAGATGGCATATAGTCAATATGGTACCTATATGCTATATTAAGTTACCCCTTAAATGCATAGGGCGGAGTAATCCATTCTTTATTTGGCTGTTGGAATTTTAAAGCCAAAAATTAAGTTAAAAAAAACAACAACCACAGATTAATTGTTAGTACTTGAAGTTGTAAGAATACATAATTCTATATAAACACTCTCCATTGCTTGGGTTATAAAGGTTTGAGAATAAGTCGGACTTTAAGTCGGTGGAGCCAAAGCATTTCCATTTGCCTTTCACTTTGACCGTGATCAAAATGGCTGCAGACCAGCCCAGAGGCGGCTCTTTGTGTGCACTGAAAATAGACCCAGTTTTTTTTTTTTTTTTGTGGGGGCTTTGGGTGGCTGGAGTGGGGGCTGGGAGTCTGTGTTGGGGGAACACATTGGGACTGAACTCTCCGGCTCAGGCTGTCTGTGCAGTGACACTATCAGTCATGATCATCTGGGGAGAATAGGGGTGGAATAACACACCTCAGACACGCTTTGTCCTTACAGATATAGAAAACCATATTATATTGGAGGAAAAAAAAACATAAAAATCGGACACCAAGTGGAGATCAACTATAATGTTTTCTTGGCATTTTTTACCCAAAGAGACTTACAATGCAGATACAACATTAAGAGTTAGGGTAGGAGATGCTCTCAGAAGAGCTGGGTCTTCAACAGTTTCTTGAAGATAGATAGGGTTCATAGGGCTTGCTCTAGACAACGATCCATTGATGACCGGAGTGACCGAGTCGTGACATAAACCTTTGCAAGAGTATTCAAGTAAATGGGATCCATACCCATAAGCACTTTGTAAGGCTAACATTGGTGACTTGAATTAGATGCGGGGTATGGGTAGCCAGTGTTGGTCAATGAGGGGTTACGTGGGACTTTTGGGGCGTTTTTAGGCACCCCTACATTCTGGATCATTTGTAGAGGTTTTACGGTATAGGATGGGATATCAACCACGAGAGCTTTGCACTGATAGAGCAACAGAGGCAACATGATCTTTAAAGATGATTGTATCATACATATATCATATTATAGTATGTATACAAATCCATATATTATATAAAATACACAGATTATTCTAAATGAATAAATACATTTTTTTAAATGTAGATGTAATCATTGTTCCTGATGCGTTATTTTGAAACAATAAATAATATATCTCTTTAGTTACCCCTGTCTGTACATTTTTGTACCATAATCACTGATCTCCATCTTAATGTTAACCAGTTTTCTTTTTTGAAATTCTATTTCTTATCGTAAAGAAATCTTAGGTTTACACTGAAATCCAGTCACCAACAGCATTAATACTCTTCTAAACAGGGCAGCCTCACTGTGCAAAAATGTTCAAACTGTACTACTGTGTACAATTAATTCAAGTCCATTCAGCTTAAAAGCATACAGAATCTTTCAAGACATTTCTAAGTGTATAAAAAGTAAATTAATACAATAATTCAAACAATTACACTATGATCCAAATCAAACCCCTTCCTGAACCAGAGTCAACACCGTGATTTCGTTAGAAAAGAGAGGTAACAATCCAAGAAATTCAATGAAAGTATAAACTTTCAGGGGGTAATAAAAGTATAGAGGGTGCAGGAGGTGGAGACGGAACAAGACACTAACAGGCTGTGAGAAAGCTTACTGTTGAATGAACACAGCAGAAGATGCTCAAGAAAAGAGTAGCAACAATTAGCTGAAGAACACATTAAAATGTGACCGGATGTAATATGAAAGGTAAAAAGTTAAAGAATTCTAAGTTTGAAGAATAGAAAAATAATCACAAAAGAATATGATTAAGAAAAACGTGTACAAGGCTTCCAATATTTTTGTTTGAAAAGGCAAATTATAATGTACGCAATAGTTTGAGTGGTATGTTTAAATGCATTACAGGGAAACAGAAAGGCTCTAATGGAAAAATGCCATTAGATTAGCTGAAACATGACATGTTTACCTACGTTTTAAGGTATAATTTGAATATGAAAGTTGAAGGAAGCGGAAGGAGTTTGAAGATTTTTCTGAATTGTACAAAATGTTTGTCACATGAGTCCTTTGATCTCTCTTAACTCTCCCCATAGAAATGCACTGTAAAATCTGAAAGGAGATAAATATTTAAATTATTTTTTAAACTGTCATATTTTACAAACGATTCAACATTTTCAAAAGAAAAGTATTTTGGTGATAGCTGGATGCCTTGAAATTAGTTCAAAAGTTGAATGGTGCTTCTAGCTGAAAGTATGTTGAAGTACTTAGAGCTGAAAGAGGTCAAAGTCTTTGAGGGATTTGAAGGTTTCCCCTTTCATTTCAAGGAGAGCAAAAATTCACAAAAAGTCAAATCATTTTACTATGTCCGAGAAAGATTAACTACTTTAATGTTGAAATTGGTCGAAGTATGCTGACGTGGTTAAGTACAGAAAAACGTGTGGGATAAATACAATGGTGGAATAGGATCGTAATAGGGAACAACACAATAGTGAATGCCAGTAGAAAAGCAGATGGGATTCCATTGGTATATAACAATTTGAAATCATGGGTGTAATGTACCAGAGTTCACCTGTGTGACCAGTCAAGTGTATGGCTTGATCAGCTGGGCTGTTACCAAGGTACAATCTTTACATAACTTTTTAACCAAACCTCTCTTTGCTAAACTTTTTCTTTCCAAAACACTATCGACAAATTCTTTGTTTTTTCTAATAAATAAATTCATATGATCTAATAAAATCCTGAATCAACAATGCTAGTGCCATCAGACAAAATCATCATGATAGTAACCTAAAGAGGTATCAATTGAATTTCTACTAGAAAGTCATTTAGTTTTTTCCTGGTAAAACGTTGTATAAAATGTTATATTTTGCTTCTCAAATCCCAGCTGGTCAGGAGGAGCAGCCACTGGCCTGGTTCTGCCTGAGGATTCTTCCTGTTCAAAAACAGTTTTGCTTTCCACAGGCGTATTTAGGGGGTGGAATGCGATCGAAGTGATGATTTTTCTTTTATTAACTGTATAAATTGTGCCAATTTTAAATCAAATTCATTTGGAAAAATAGGATTCTGACTGGCTTGGCTGCATTTTATCCTTTAAGTACCAAGCGATTACATATGCTGTGATTATGTGCTAAAGAAATTAAACTGAACGGAAAATATAAGGAGCCCGACTTTCTACCAATATGAAGAGGTCTTAATATTTTTCCAAGTTTTCTTTAGACAGTTAATCATTTTTCTATATAGATTTTCCTTTGTTTGTTTTCATTATATGTTCACAAATATTCATTTGATTCATTGCTGGGAGCCAGAAAAGAGGAAAATGTGAAAGCAGACAATAGAAAAAATACCTACATAAAAAAAGGAAGATCAGCTTTACAGTAGATGTTTTTGAATGTGGGAACACATCCTACAGTGTCTGTTTGCATATTCTCCACTATCTAGACTCACTTTCTCAAACTTGAAACAACCTATCTTTGACAACAGCTAAATTGGAAATGATTCAACACAGTTTTATGTTAGTGTGCTTAATCCAACAAAAGTCACTGGATGTGGAGGGACATTGAAGAAAGGAAAGTAACTGTGGATAGTAAAATGCGGGCTCAAATATAGGAAAGAAAAGAAAAAAGATCCACTTCATGGACAATTCTTTCTTTTAAACATCAAATCTAAAAGTTCGCTTGCAATGGAATACTCCAGTTTTGATCAATTTTAGACTGAAAATGGTGGACTGTGCTCAACTAGAACTCCGTTTCAAACCTTGTGTGGGGCCAGGAAAAGGGAGAGAGGAATGCAAGTCTGCTGATGGTTGCTCCAGGCTTGGAGGAAGGTCGGGACAGAGGGAGGGGAGGATTTAATGAAGGGAATGGGGGGAGGGAGAGGCAGACAGCTTGGCCCCTCAGCTCTTTGGGAAGACTCACAAGCTGCTCTGGAAAACACAGGATGTGGGCATGCAGGCAGGGAGAACGGGTTTAGACATCCCTCCAACCCCACCCCCAACCGCCCACACACACGCACACACAATTCCATTCTCTCCATTCCTCCCTTAACCCTTTCCTGTGTCAGCCCTGTTCCACCACAGAACCGGTCTGTCTAAAGTATTTCCCTCATAAGGATCCTGTTCACTTCGCTCTGTAACACAGTTTCGTAAAAGTTGTACAAACAGGAGGACACAGTTCCCTGAGTTTAAGAGCAAGAGTTCCAGTAAACCGAGCCATTTTCTTTCTAGTGTCTTGGTCATATATTGCATGACTGGGTTTTTCACTGTACTTTGTCCAAATAGGCCTGATTCAAAGTGCTTACAAAGAAACACAGAAATGTAAAAGGAGAGGATAATTTTAAGATCATTACAGCTTCTCTAACCTTCTTACTGTAGTTTATTTAAAAATTAAGTGAAAAAAGGTTTTCCTGAAATGTACAGGGACTCTTAGGAACCCCTGACTAGAAATAAAAAAGGTGCAAATCTATGTAGTAGAAGAGTCAGCACATTTAAAGGACACGGGAGGGGAAAAAAGGTAGCACCGTGCTAATCACATCAAAGTTGAACTGGAAAAAGAAGAAAAATGTATTTTTACGCATGTAAACATTTAACATGCTTACCAGACTGAGAACTCTGCCTCAACTCACATGGGCCTGGGGCTCCATGTTAGGCCCAAAATTCCACCTTTTTGAATCTTGTTGTAAAACACAGCAGATTTTCTGCTCTCTGTGAGATCACAAAGCTCAACCTCTCTAAAATAAGGTGGAAAATAAGCCTTTAAAAACAACTTAAAGTTGCAGATCATTTAAAAAGTGGAGCTCTAGTTGCAGCCAGTTAGTCCAACTTACAAGTTATAATGATTGTTTTTGTTAAGAATACCATTAAAAGCGTGATTGTGGTTTGTATTGCTCAGTGCTTTCTGGGAATTATCTGGAAAGTTACCTGCTCAATTCAAACACAGTCTTAAGACGTTTTCCCAACTTCATACTAGAGAAAATGTGGAGAAAATGTTGGCAGTATGTGGACACAGTTTGGTCTGTCTGAAGCAAACATTTACCTTCCCATGTGCGACTTCTTTTTTTTCTTCCAAAAAACAGAGTTGAGGCCCCTGTCCTTTAGCATAATTCTGCTCTGCTGGGGCCAACTGCACCAGCAGTATCTGATATGAACAACTTAAACACATTCACTCTAATAAAATGTGATAACGTAGTCTAATCAGCAGAAAAAAAACAAACTGTGACAATTTAGATATCTTTATAAATGAGTGTGCCATTCTGCTGTTGTCTATTTCAATTGGATGATAAAATTTAAAGCAAATCAAACCAATATTTGATGTGCTTTGATTTGAGAGTTTGCAATTAACTATGTGAAATATTTACCAAATCATTTTAGGACTGGCAAATTAAGGGTGAATCAGTGAGCATGAGACAGAGAAATGCAACTGTACCTCTGCCTTGTACATTTTAATGAGGCCTTGGTTAACTTTGGACCATGATGGAACAGCACTGATGTTCCACAGCTGGTTGGAGTGCTCGGCAAAGGGACCGGTCTTCATCTGCAAAGAAGTGGCAAAATTAAAGATGAAACAGCGGAAAAACACTTAAAAAAAATAATCTATGGATACTGTAAAACATATATACATTCGTAAACACACAAATACAGTTATGTGAAAAGGTTTGGGCATCCAAACTATTTGCAATTATTGTAATTTATAAATCATAAACTGGGTTAACAGTTTATGTGAAATAGGCATCATAGCAAATGTAGATAAGTGTATGGATTTAGGCACCCAAACAAAAAGACCCTTCTCCCACATGCTTTTTCAGTATTGCTCCATCTCCTTGTTCATTGATTGGGCAGTTCTCATATTGCCCCCCTCTCACTGAGAGTACACCTTGGATGGTTCATTGGAAAACATCTGGCTAATTCTCCTGGCTTCTACTGATCCGGCGTACCTCTTTAAGCGGCTAGCTTAAAGAAAGACTTTGAGTCTTTGCTTGGCGGAATTCCAAGGCCTCAGGTGTGGACAGTTTGTTGTGCTTCTTGACTACTTTCTTCATCGCACCTTTCTGCAGCTCCGATAAATTGGCTAAATTCCTCCATGCTGCCTTGATCTTAGCCTCTGATCTCCTTCTCCATGGAGGGTACTACTCTCTGGTGCTGCTCAGTTTGGAACCGGGCATCTCTAGGATCGCTGCTGCTTAAGTGTACATCAGCTGGATGGTTTCAGAGGTGGTTGCAGTAGGGATTCGTCTTTGGAGACGCATTAAAATCTTCATGTTGATCTTCAGAAGGGATTCATGTGTCATGGTTGTTGGTGACAGGGGGGTCCAGGTTTCTGGGTTTGCCATGATATTCTCTTTTAGGTCAGCTGTACCACTATACAGTGTACCAGTTGTACTTGGGGTTTGGGTATCCGAACCTCTGGGTGGGGGGAATGATGGTGAAATACCCCCGCTGACCTTCCGTCCTGGCTCCCCCTTGCTGTAGCATATGTAGTATACCTCATCAATCTCTAGTTGTGATAACAGTTGCTTCTCGCAGATGTTGGAGCAGTTGTACAGTTCTCTTGCTTGGCTGGTAGTTATAGGTGCCAGCTCTGTGCTTCACCACAACTCGATTTAGGTGGCTTTCCATTTGAAGTGAGCTCCAGACAGAAAATTATGGCCAGAGATGTTGTTTGTAGATAACACGGGCACAAGACACCAATGAACAACATCGCACTTAAGATACACCAGCTGAACATTGGACTGTTGTGTTGGTTTGTCAAAATCAAGGACGATGACGATCACAGAAATAATCAAATCGGACCTTTGTTCTTAGCACGTTTTTAAAGTAGGCAGGGAGCTGGTTATGGAGTCGCCCACTTGATCCACATAAGTAAGTTCAATTCTTATTCGACTTGATTCGTGTACAAGTTGTACTTGGGGTTTTGGTACCTGACCTCTGGGTTGGGGAATGATGGTGAAATACCCCCACTGACCTTCCATCCTGGTTCCCCCTTGGTCTAGCTTATGTAGGGTACCTCATCAATATCTAGTTGTGATAGCAGTTGCTTCTCGCAGATGTTGGAACACCGAGTTACCAATTGTTTCAATAGGAGCTTTTGGATATCGAAGAATCCATAAGTCCCACATACCATTCATGTAACCCCTTCCACTTGGTTTACTTGAATCGTAGCATTTCAATAGCGCTCTGTTCCCATCCTAGTCCACTTTCACTCACACCCTTTGTTTTCATAGTACATCCATCCATTTATCCATCAAATGTTTTTTTTAATTTAACTTTTTATTTTATTTATCTCTTTTTAGCCTAGAAAACTGAGGACCGTACACAGATTTCCCACCATTGCCCTCAAGAGACTGAGGAACCCCAACCCAGACCCTTGGGCATCAATTAAATATCCCCTCCTTCTTCCAACCCCCCCGTTCCCCCAACCCCCCCTCCCTCCATCCAGCCCCCGTCTCCCAAGCACTGCTCCAGACACTTTCCAGGGCCTTGCATGAGAATGTCTGGGGGAAGGGCATGGAGGAGGGTGGAAAAGGAGGGGTGGAGACAGCCAGTATTCCCTGGAGGAACGAGTGATTCACAGCAGCATGTGGGGAAGGAAGTGACTCATGTTCAGAGCCTGCGCACACTCACACCGACACACACATGCTCGAACCCTGGGTCTAAAGGGAAGAAAAAATTCATACACGAGCATGGGTTTGAAATATCCATGTGTGTGTGAACGGGAAGAAAAACTTGGGTGTAGGAAGAAATACTATACAGGTCTTTGTGAATCAGTACAAACAAAAGAGGACAACAACCTGAAGGTCAAGTCTAAACAAGAACATTAACCGATCGACAAAGAAAAAATAAAAATAAAGACAAAGAATGCTTCAGAGTACATCATCACAAGTATTTTGTACTTCTATAGCTCAAAATTAGCAGAACAGTAACTGCAGTCACCTGCAGCTAGACAAACCTTTCACACTCCCGAATAACCCAAACTGCTGAAATTACCTCTGTGTAGATTTGTTTTTTTCAGTTCAGTTCAGTTACTTATTTACCACCAAAAGAGAAGAGATCTTTCCAATATATCAACTGTGACACAATTCCACAATAAGATCTGAACACTGGATGTACTAGCACATCTATAAGTCAATTTGACACATGAGAAAAATAAAGACAAAATGTTTTTGCCCTTTATGTTCGTTACACCGACATATTTCCCACTGAAACTTGAGCATCGTGAGCCTAATGTAATGTTCTAGCTTGCTAAGTAGCACCCATTCTTTGGATGGGTGCCATTCGATTTGCTTCGCTTTCAAAGGAGGACCAAGGCTTTCAAAGCCTAGAATGGAGCTAAAATTCTCCAAAACATCTTCCAGAAAAAGCTTGTTCTGTAGATTGGAGATGAATATGACGTAAAACATCTTTTAAAGGTTTGGACACCTTTTTTCAGTTACTAAGAAGAGCTCAGCCAACAAACATCCTCCAATTATAATAAGAATAAATGTATAGTAAGATGTTAAAGTGTGTTTATCTTATTTTTATCTTTCTTTCTTTATCTTTTTTTTTATCTTTATCTTTTCCGCTAGGACCTACTTAGCTCTACACGACTTTACTTGACTCATCTCTGCTTGCTTTAGGTACTCCATTGCAAATAGGTCACAGCAGCGACACGGCTAAAGGGCCCATGATGTCGTGTGTGTGACACAAACACAACACAAAAAAAAGGACAAGGCAGCAACAATAAACTGAAACTTATCATTGTACAGTTTGTACATTTGTAAAAAGCCTGTTATTTGTTTCAAAATGGTCTTTGTTTCTTCTCTCATGGCAGTACCCCAAAAAACAAGAAACAACCAAAAAATCAGTTGTACAGTTCAGTTGCTTGGCTGGTAGTTATAAGTGCCAGCTTGGTACTATGTGCTTCACCATAACTCGATTTAGGTGGCTTTCCATTTGAAGTCAGCTCCAGACAGAAAACGGTTGCCAGTTATGTTGTTTGTATGAACAATACCGGCTGAGCATTGGACTGTTGTGTTGGTTTGTCAAAATCAAGGACGGTGACCATCACAGAAATAATTAAATCGGACCTTTGTTCTTAGCATTTTTTTAAAGTGGTCAGGGAGCTGGTTAAGGAGTCACCCACTTGATCCACATAAGTAAGTCCAGTTTTTATTCTACTTGAACAAAAAATTGGTCGAACCAAGCTGTGCTGATTAGGTACCACTGGAAAAAGCACCATAAGGTCTGCCCTGGAGGACAGTCGTAGTAAAACTCTTAAAAGTATTTGAGCGATCATTGAGAAAGGACACAACCAATTAACATCTGGTTTATGGGACAGTGTCTTTTGCCTTTATAATCAAGGTATTACAAATGTAAAAAAAAAGAATCGCAACCAAAATAATAAACAGTAATGAAACTAATCAAAACAAAGGGAGTGAGGAAAACCGAAGTAGCATGGAGCTGTGAGTTAAATATTGAGAGAACCTACTAAGAAGAACCCTTGATGACTGTGAGGAGAGAGATCAAGCAGGAGCCAAACATGCTGAAAAAAAGTGGGACGGAGGTGGTATGTCTGCGTTTGGAAAAGGAAAAGGATGTAGCTGCTCCAATGACGCCCTCTCCTACTTCCCTCCCATCCCCTCCTTTTTCCTCACGCAAACCCAAAACAAAGCTCACAATTCCTGCTCTGGCATGACACCAACACAATCCATCTGCCTTCTCCCCAGCCTCATCTTCCTCTTCCCAGACAAAACTACTTTGACTGAACAAAATCAACACTTTCTTATTTAATATGATAAAACACTTAGAAAGAATTCAAATTCTTTATCTGAGACAGAGTTTTGAATCCATCAGATCAGAGTGAATTGACACCATGGATGTTTTTTTCTAAAAAGATAAAATATAAGTATAAAGCAACATTTTTAAACATCCAACTAGCACAGAATAATAACATGTCTACTGAGAGTTGGTTTGATCTACAGTGGACATACACACAAAAAGAAACTGGTTGGTCACAATGAACTTATTGATTTCCAATTTTCAAAGAAAACCTGTCAATCCGGCATAATCTCAGATGTTTGTTTGGAGATTCAGTTTTTAAAAAATAATAGCATGTGTATTTTACAATATATGTTCAGATAATGCTCCTTAAAAAGTATTTTCTCCATATATCGTGAACTCAAAATATTTGTTGTTTTGTCTCAGGATTCTTTTAAAAAATTATAATTCTATATCTATATTTTAGTTATTTTTCTATTTCAAGAAGGCTAAATGTTTCTATGAGCTTTGGAGCTGGGGGAATTCGGGGCTAGTGGCGAGGTTTTTAAATTATTCATCTAATTTAAAAGAGGCTATGTCTAAGGTAGACTTAAAAGCAGAATCCACGAAAGACAGAGTCTTTTAAAGAGCTGCTGTCTCTTGATCTCTGATCCTTCAAACAGGGCTGCCCCAGGAACCACAGTTACTCAGTAGCTGCAATTACAACAGTGTCAAGAGATCACTGTGGGGAACATTTGATAAGCACTGAAATACACAATTATATCTAAAATGCCATTTATCCCTTTACAGTGCAAAACGGAAGCCTTATGTTATCATTACTCATATAGCTGAACTATGTAGATTTCTCTTCTACACAATGAGTGTTGGGGCTTGAGTATTTCTTTAGTTTTCTTTTCCTTTTAAATGACTAAACAAATGCTAAACAAAAACAAATAGCATATGACACAATGCAATAGCAGCATATCCAAAAAAGGTAGGTGCTGTAATAGTAACATTAAATAAGTTTTATGTTCGATACTTCTTTTCAACTTTTGTTGAATGCTGTATTGAAGCTTCAAAGTGTCTACATTTCTACTCTTTGGAAACTTTATTTTTAAGCCTATCCTTTGGAATAGAGCAAGTAGATGGATGTATTTAAAGGAGCTTTTTGCTGACCCCTAGTGGGGTCTTGTAAGTTTAGAAATTGGATTAAACAATCATATTTTGGACCCCAAAAATAAAAAGAAGGAAGTGAAAAGTGGAAATTAACAGAACATACATTTAGAGTAAAATCTTTTCAGTTTAAATAATTACTTGCTAAAATGGACTGGAGGAAATCTCGATATAATTTAGATGAGCATTTTTAAAGCAAGTTTTCTTTCTCACTATCTTATCTAATGTTTTAGCTTGTTTATTTTCCTATGAAATCACTAGTTAAAATCAAAAGAGTTCATACTTAACAGAAATGTAAAGGTACTAGAATAATGTAACCAGTGAATATGACATGTGGGAGCAAACAACAGCAGAAAGAAAAACCTTTAGAGTAATTTCAGTGTGTTAGTGAGTTCAATTTTCCTACCTCGTTTATGAATTTGATGCACTCCAGGAACATGTAGTCCTGGTGGTGCTCGTTTACCACCCTTTCATTGATAAAATGCCGGGGTTCCAGCGTTGGGTGATCTAAAGGAAGATCAGCTTGGGAGTCAATATGGCCACCACCAGGTATCGCCACTCTTAAAGATCATTCACAGACTCAAAAACCACCTTCCAGCACACAGAGGATAAACAGAAAAACTAAACTGTGTAATCTCTAGAAACATGCAACAATCCCTTGTTCTGATTGAATAAGTGTACTGATGAAAATTTACTGAAACTGACTTAGTGAATAAAAAAGAAAATAAAATGTCATCATACGGTCAGTTTTGGCAAAATCCACTGTTTGAGGGTTAAAATCCATTAGCTCTTCCTTTTTTTTGCAAGCGTTTAATGTAGTTCTGACTTCAAAACAGTATTAACCATGATTATAACCCTGGTAAAATAAATCACTGAATGCAGAAACAAAAGAGCAACCCAAGAAGGAACAAAGACATCCACATTGAAAAAAGCGATCAGACCTCTCAGTGGAGAAAAAAATTCTGGGACACAAACCCAATCCCCATTTTTACAAACAAAGTTGTCGAAATCCAGCTTAAATAGAATTTAAAAAATTATCAAATTTTTCACAATTAAGGCTACATTCCTACATTGTAAGATTTAATGGTGAGATAAAATGGTTTTATTTTTAACAATACATTAGCATAACCAGGACAGGTTTGCTGTTTGGTTTAAAGAGGTAAATGAAATGGGCCTGAGTTTAAATTAAATGCTGCATAATTTCTTCAAACTTGGTCCAAAAAAGTAGATCAAGTTTTTGACATTTTTTAAAATTTATTTAGTGAAAAGACAGAGAGAGATTAACCTCAACTTAATTTTCCCTCATGGTAGGCATTGACTGATTCAGCTGTCATTTATTAATGAACCTTAAGCTGTTGATAGACAGAATATGCTGACACATAAAAGAGGTTGTTTCTATTTTTTCCATGGCAACCCCTGTATCTCTGGCCTGCTCTGGGTGTGAGATCATGTTTGACTGATGACCCCTAGTGAACGGAACCTTGCACTGCATCACGTTACCATGGGTGACCTAATGAAAAAGAACCCTAAATCTAAAGAAACACTACTCCTAGTTCATCTAAAACAAAAGACACAAAGGAATATTAAACAAAACTGTTGCCATGTTCAGCTCTTACTACACACCCCGTTGCTGTGAAGTATTTGTCTTTATTTCTCTGACTTCCAGAAATTCATTATAGTTATAGCTGACCTTCACTCCTTTTCAGGAATTTTCAATGGAATACTGAGCAGGACACAATGAGCTCCTAACTGGGCAAGATTCAAAAGCTTTTCCCACAGGTAAAACCAAAATAAGACTTCCATTGTATGCCGTTGTTAGTGGCTTACAATGAACAAACAGGAATACTATAATGACATGGTACTGTCTTTGCAATGGGCACGAATGGACAGCGGGCAATCACACACATTTGTACTTTTTTTTGTTTTTAGAGTTCAAAGCAAACATGATATGAGGTCCTGCTGAAATTTAAATGGAATATTGATGACTGACTGGTAAATGCTTGTAAACTGAAGCTGAAGGTGTCGCCTTTTTCTACATTAACTGTCCTAAAATAAAGGAGGGGATTTCATAAATGTAAAAAAAACCTTACCTATGCAACAGTTTGGTCGCTCTAGCCTATTTTAGAAAAGATTTTCAAAAAAGTTCTTCATTTTATTAAAAGTCTGACGTAACAACAACGTTACATAAATAAGACTAAATTTAGACTTGAACGTGCATTCTATTTCAACCTCAACATCCCCACATAGGCCACTGTTGTCAAAAAGAACAATGTTATTTTTACCTATAAACTGAGAGCTTCCCCAGATGAAGGGTAGAAACTGGAAGTCATCAAGTCCCCAAACACCTTGACTTCCAGCTGGCTCCATTCTGTAGGTCTTCTGTAGCTTTCGCATAACTGAGAGATACCTAGGAAAATGAAAAAAAAGAACACTAATTTGGTAAAACCATCTATTTCTATTTCGCTTGACTCACTTCGTTAAAAGCTAAAGTCAATGCTCACTTGTGGAAAACCTTGAAGACGATAGCCAGCTGATCGTCTACCGTGAGGCAGCCAACCTTACAGAGACAGCAGAGAAAAGATGCAAAAGCTGCTTCGTGGCCTGAGGAGACAAACCCGAAGAGCTGCGTCTGAGCCTCACAAAACCACCTCAGAACGCACATTTGTGATGGACGAACATCAGCAGCAACCGTCGGCGGACTTCCACTCCCTCATTTTACTAGCTATGTAAAAAGCTTTTATAGCACAGCTAGGGCTGTGTCATGACAAATTATACCAAGGTAGAGTAAAAAAAAAAAAAAGAAACACCAAAGTCGTGTATGGAGAGATTTGGCGTTTGAACCAATAGTTGGAGACAAATTACACAGCTAATAGACAGATTTACAGATCTGTACACAGAAATCGAGGACACACCGTTCTAACAGAATGTTGCAATGTGTTCAGAGCTTGAAATTCTGCCCATCTGTCAGTAAACCTCCAGAGCTGCATATGCTGCAACAGTGCTCCAAACCATAACAAGAGGCAAACCATTCAGATACAGTATAATGTGAGCTAAAAGCGTCTGATTTTATTTGATCTTTGGGACCATAATAGCTAAAAGCTCCACATATTAGGCTTGTTTGAATTTTTTTTTTTTTTTTTTTTTAAACAGACACACAAACAAAAATTTAACAAATTACAGTTATGAAACCAGTCTTTACAAATAGCGGCTTTGTGAAATATCTAAAAAAATATCTAAATATAAAAAAAAAAAGATCATAATTATAAATTCTCTAAAATGATAACCCAAAAATGTTGTTATGGATCACTTTTGACCATTTCCATCAGTACTTTATTTATTTAAATAACTTATAACTTCAATTCTTTTTTCTAAAATCTTTTTTTTCTAAATTGGACAGAGATCACAACCACTTGCTATGACAAGTTCATTATTGTTTCTCCTGTTACTTATTTTAACCTGTTTTTGACTTTTTTTAAAACTGCTTTTGTAGTGCAGATTCTTTGGGGCATATGTTTGAGTTTCAGACATGTTTGAGTGTTTTTTTTAGTTTAATGTGCTGACACTTTTTTTTTTCTTTTACTGTTAGGTCAATTCTATATTTAGACACCCATTATGTTTTACAAGGTACTGTTGTTCCAGCAATAGTGTGACTATCATTGACTGAGACAACATGTTTTATTTGATCCATTTTAACAAGAACATGTCAATAAATAAATTAAACATAACCTATTTTGCAATAGTGCTGCAGTCACTAATAAATAAAACAGTTTTTCTAATAGGAATGGATCATCATTACCAGTTAAAAATAATTGGTGAGCATCTTAATTTTGAGTAGAATGTAGTTAGATGTGCATCGTAGACAAGTTACCTGTCCCATAGTCTATTCTGGTGGAGTTCCCCACAGATTCCTTCAGGTAGACTGCTATCTCAGCAGCCGCAGCACTTTTATCAGACGGGAGCACGGCAGAAACCAAGGCCTCCGCCTCCTGCACACAAGCACCAGAGTCAGCTTCCACCTGATGGCTTTAATAGCTGCATGTGAGCAAATATGCAAAACCGACCTCATCTAGTTTGGCGAACCAGGTTCTGTAGGCCTTGTTGCCGAAACGCGAAGGCTGGTCGATGGGAGGAGTCTCGTCTATCCATTGGTCCAAAGTCGCCAAAAGAATAAGTAGCTTCTCAACGGTCTGTCATGCAACACAATTGTAACTGCGGCTAGTCAAAATCATTGGGGAAGTGACAAAGAAGATGCAGTTTCCAAAACATCAGGAACCGGTTAAACTTATTTTGTGTATCCTGTCCTCACTTACAGGTGCTTAAGGACAATATAAAACCACTTAAGTATTTGGATATACCTTATTTAAATTTTCTAAATAAATTCAGTGTAAATTTCCTCTTTTAGCTATGAAAGTTCCATTTGTATGTTGATTTATTATCATATGCAGGGGGAAAACATGGGAAAGAGTTTTTTTTCTTTTAACTCTATATATGGACACAACCACAATCTATCTCTCTAGACTGCCAGAAAATGCATTATAAAGGCTAATGATACAAAATATAACTAACCTCGGACACTTTGTATTCACATGTGAGTTTTCTTCCCTTAACGGCTTCATTCAGTGTCAGAATAAAGCCTATGTAGTCTGCATAGGCCTGCAAGAAAGACACAATAAATCATATCAAAATGTGTACATTTTTTTGCAAACTTTGTATGAATAATGAATAAAATGCAAAAGCCATTTTTTTAAAAAAAGCTTTGAAATTCATGAGGCTGACGTCATTACATCTGTGAATTCTAAGAATTATAGTATTTCCTAATATGGGACTAAAACAGACAAAAGTAACTCACTTAAAAAAATAATTTAAACTTGTCAGAACATTAGAATATTCAAAGATAAGTGAGGGACAATAGGATTTCAAATTCTGAAGTGACACATTTGCACTGATGGTGGGGAAAAAATATATATATATAAATTTAAAAACACAGGCCAGTTTAATAGTTCATGTTAAAACAGAAATTGACAACATAAACATAAAGAATTTTGAACTTACTTGAGATCGTTTCCATTTTCCCATATCAGGTACCATGCTGATTTCTTTCTTGGGGATCATGTAGGCGATGTTGTATGTAACTTCAGGCACTTCATCTTTAGGAGTGGAACCTAAAAGATCCAATTACCAATTGTTATCCATTAATAAGTAGCTAATCTTGATAAAATGCCCAAATACCAAGCACTTCACTTGTTAAGTGACTGAAAGGCTTGTTCAATATGGAAAATATATTTGCTAGTAAAAGAATGTACCATAACAATGATAGTAATAATATAGTACAAACTCCTGTCAAACCGATCAAATATTATCGGTGCATTATCAGTTGAAATTATACACTAAGACTTGTAAATTCAATACAAAGTTCTATTCAGTATTAAAGTTATGGTGTAATTCCTAGATTTGAGGAAACATTTTGTAACATGACAGTAGAGATTCTACTGCATTAAACAATTTGACATTTATTAAACCTAAGTTATGAGCTTTATTTTTTTGTTATAATGTGAGATATCAACTTTAAATACCCTTCCTTGTGAAATTCAACTGCTTTTGTCTGTGTTAGACTTTTGTCCTTTTTTTTCTCCACAGAATTGAATCCAAAACTCTGAATATAAAGTGTAGGTTACTAGCGCAGACCAATGTGGGTTAAAAAAACATTATTGGAATACCAAAGCCAGCAGGTTAACTTTCCAAAATTACTGGCCATGATATACTCAAGGAAGAAGTGAACCAGCTTTCTGAAGCTAAGAACCTAGAGTCAACATTGTAAGCAACAGACCCTTCTTAGTAAAACTTGTAACTGAAAATTTGTGATAAACGGAAGTTTTCCAAATAATATGAAACTCTGTGAGGACTTCAAGAAATGTTACAATTGTCCTGTATCTCAGAAAACCTAACTTCATTACAACATTAAACTACAGAAGCAGCTTTTTAATTTGAAACACATTTTTTAACATGTGTGGTTATAAATAAACATATAATATATATTTATATATAAACAGACTTCTAACTATGGCTTATCTAACACACTAATTCTTCCAAAAACAAGTCAAATTAAGTGATGCAAGAATAAAACTGTCCTTCTATTTCATTGCCCGAGTAAGCAAACAAATCTTGACAATCGAATATCTCTTTTTGATAAATTGGTGAATAAAGTCTTCGGAATATTAAAGGTACGAGTTCAAAAACAATAAACACATTAGCTACAAAAGCAGGTGTACATGGGTGACTGTGGGTATAGCTTTTGCATGGGATAAGTACGCAATTGCCTTTTGGGTTTAACAAGAGCAAAGTTCATTCACATGTGGTAAAGCGGGGTATCTAATACGGTTCAATGCATTAAAACCAGTGTGGGCAAATCCAACTCTGAACTTGATAACCCCAAGAAGAAGCATCCATCTCAGTTTTACCTGACTGTCGCTCTATTTCCGCCATGGCGAAGCTAACAGTCTTCTTCGTGGGCTACACAGTGAGTCCAAAAATAGCTAATGCTCTTTACTGCCCCCACACGTCAGGTCAGGTGGGCAAGTGTAACTAAAAAGTCGAAGGATTGTATTCATTGTTAAATTCGAACGTTAAAAAAAATAGTTATTTGGAGCAAAATCTGGCTCATTCGGCTATATAATCTAATTTTACTTGAAAAAATAAGTTATTTTTCGGTAGGTTGTTTTAGCATCTGCAGTATTCAACGAATGTAAGGGCTCGTGTTGCACAAACCATGTTCTTATTTATGACAGCGCGAGACCCGACGTTTACAGCTCGGTAATTTTAACTTGTCTCTGTTCAGCAACCGCGTTGTATGGTTGTGTGGTCAGTTCTGCTATGTGTGCAGTATTTAGGAGATAACGCTCTGTAGACACCGAGTTGAAAAGCTACACTTGCGGAGCACACAGTCCGTGGGCGTATCTTTGAATACAGAATGTGGGGCATTTGCAGCAGAACTTTGGTGAGTACGAACGGGAACGTCAACTGTGTTTACGTCGCGAAGCTACGCTTTTACGGACTAACTCCAGCAATGACATCGACTCCAAAGCGGTTTTCCTCGATAGGAAATAGCTCTGAAATATTACTTAATAGAGGCTAACTAAAGCGAGAAGGTCCGCGGACGTTTGTTTATTCGCTGTTAGCATCGTTGTTCTAAAATTAAATGAGGAAGGTAACGGTAGTTGCTAATATTCAACACAAGCTAACCCAACTAGATCAAAGGTGAATAGTGAATGGTTAACAAGAAATACGATCAAAAGGGACTTACCTTGTATTCATTGTTACTGTTTGTAAAGCTCCTTAATAATAATATATGAATATATACAAGTGACGTTATTAAAAAAAATCACAAGCTATCGTTATACACGTATTGTTAACATTTGTGATATATTGATCGTAGTTTTGAATTTGAGCATTTTTTTTACAGGTGATCAATGTTGCTGTTTCAGATGGATTTATTCTCTTGGACATTGCATTGATTATACATATTTACAGTTTCAAGGTTTAAGGTGTAATGCCTTCCAAGAGTACTTTTTTTTTGGGGGGGGGGGGGGGGGCAAAAGCGAATTGCATGTTTAGTTATGTGCAAGACAAATGTAACAATCACATCTATTCTGACCACAAACCTGTACTTTTTTGCAGCAGGTCTATTAACCTGTATTTACTATTCGTTTTTTTGTCTCTTCGGAAAAGGTGGGGATGGCGAAGACTTGTGGGATTGCAAGACCCAAACACTTGGTTAAGCCTGTGTCTGCGACCCGGGTGGCTGGCAGGTACCTGACCCACCAGAGAGGACTGCCATGTCTGCCCGTCCCCCCTCTCCAGCAGACCTGCGAGCGCTACATCGCAGCGCTGGAGCCCATTGTAGAGACTGATGAGCTGACGCACACAAAGAAGCTGGTGGAAGAGTTCCAGAAAGCTGGAGGGGTGGGAGAGAGGCTGCAGAAAGGCCTTGAAAAGAGAGCGGGCAACACAGAAAACTGGGTAAACATTTTCATTTTCATGTCTACAAAGTATCACCCTTTTCTGCCTGGTTGAGTGTTGCAGAGACGTTTTTGATATGGCACCATTTCAAGATGAGTTAATTTAGTTTAGAAAATCAATAAAACAAATATGTCATGAAGAAACACAGATCATAAATGATCCTTTAACTCACAACTTCAGTTTTTCTAAGTATCCTCTTCATTCTTATCATTATCTCCACTCGTGATTGATTCAGTGTGTGTCTCTTTGGCTTGTAGCTGTCCGAGTGGTGGGTTAAAGTTGCTTACCTTGAGTACCGAATGCCTGTGGTGGTTCATTCAAGTCCTGGGTTGGTCTTGCCTCCCATGAACTTCAGTGATAAGCCGGGACAAATAAGGTAATCAATCGCAAAATGAAGATGTTCAGTAACAGTCTCAGATTAAGAAAATAACTGATCCTCCTGTGATGACGTCATGTTTGGAGACCCTAGCCTCATTCTTCCACACTATCAGTTACTGATTGTATTGATCTGATTGAACGGATGAAGGACAGCTATTCAGGAATTAGAATGATGTGTTTGATAAAGTAACGGCACTGACAGATGAGCTGATGAATAGATTTGACATCGTGCCCGGAGGTATCGCTGGATAACGCAAGAGGAAGTTGCAAAATTTTAGATTTAGTTTTCTACTGTTTTTTAAACTATTTGGGGCTCCCTGTCCGCCATGCTGGGCAAATAAATGTAGAGAGAAACAGACCCTCCAAAGATATAATTCCGTTTCAGTCCTTTTTTGTATTATGCGATCAAAAGCTATAAGTGAAGTTTATCAGAACCAATTCAGATAAAACAGGTCTCTTCTGAAGATGTTGTGTTGATGTGAATCAGGTGTGTAGAAGCAAGGAGACCTCTAAAACACCGCCCCACTAACAAACCGAGTATTTCCATGAATTTAAACTATCTTAATTTTATGTAGACAGTTACATTACATTACCTTTAGAAGACGACCATGCTTGGAAATTAAACACGAAGGCAATAACACACACAAATATACACTGAATAAAAAGTGGCACTTCTGTATTTCATTTTAAGCAATCCCTCCGTTTTTCTTCCCTGCTGTCAGCTAAACCTCTCGTGTATTTGTTCATTTTTTACATCCTTGGACCACAGACTGTGACATTTACACAGAATCCACAACCACTTGCAGAATATTACTGTTTTCTCTTCATTGTTGGAAGGGTGGGGGTGTGAGTGCATCAATCAGCCGTAGGCTTTAATTATTTTTCTTAATCATCAGGTTTGCTGCAAAACTTATAGCTGGTGTTTTGGACTTTAAGACAATGATCGACAAGTGAGTACTCATCATTAAATAACAGATTATTGTTGAAATCTAGTTAAAAAACATACGGTTTATATCTTAGAATATAGATGAGGTTCATTCATAATATATTAAAGATATGTAGAATACTATACATACATATTGTGTTTCTCATACTCTGCATCTTCAGTGTATTTTTTCTGCTTTATAAGCGTTTAATGACTGAGCTGATGTTTTTCAGTGAAACGTTACCAGTCGAGTACATGGGACAGAAGCCCCTTTGTATGAATCAGTACTATGAAGTTCTATCATCGTGTCGCATACCTGGTTTAAAGATGGACTCTGTTGTAAACCATGCCAAGAGCTCTCATCCACCCAATCATATCATTGTGGTGCACAACGGCCAGGTAAGGAACACTGGTTTGAATTGCACAGTAGTGTCAGGATTTTCAACTTTAACAGCTTTAAACAAACTGTAGCATTATTGATACGATGCTGGTTAGCACTAAACATTAAATTATTTCAAATTATGCTCTTTTATTCTTTAAAATTGTTTTCTAGTTGGATATTGAATGAGAAAATTATGACAAATGACATAATGATGTGTGTTTTGTCTCAGAAAAAGATTAAATGAAAAAATAGTTGCTATTTCTAAAAAGGGATGAAATATAACATTTATTAAACAGTTCAATTCAGAAGACAACGTGAAGAGGTTGCAGCAGATGTAATTTCTCTACATGTTATGTTATCGATTGGGTCTTTGGACGTCAGTTTTTCCAGCTGGACGTGTACAACAGCGATGGCACGGCTCTGACAGCAGAACAGCTCTGCGTGCAGCTAAATAAGATCTGCGACGCTTCACCAGAGATGAACGCCGAGCCCATCGGCATCCTCACCACCGAGCACAGAGACCGCTGGGGGAGAGCTTACCAAACTCTCATAAAGGGTGAGCGTCTTCACACACCTCCGAAACGTGACGTCAGAGGTGTGTGACATCGTGTGTCACACCACCTAACCCTAACCTTTAATATCAAACCTTGATAGACACACACTGGTACCACTAGTTATTTTAGTGTACCACCAGAGGCCAGTCAAGATGGACACAGCTCGAGGAAGGGGGTGTAAAATTGACGTGCCAGCTAGCGCGAGCATAAAGAGCTTCTAGTTTGGGAGGACATTGTGATCAGATCCGTTTCTTGGTCATGTGTTTGTTGGTGAGTGTGTGTCTGTGTGCATCAAAATAGAGCTTTACAAATCAATAAAGTAGAAATATTTGAGGCGGCATGGTGGTTAGCACCATCGCCTCACAGCAAAAACAGAAAATGGATGAATGGATAGAAAATTTTTGAGGCTAAATCATTTACATTGTCACAGAATATAAGAAATTCTGTCATTTTATGTCACTATTGAAAGAATGTCATGGTAAGAAAATTGTTTGACTGCATTGTCCAACCAATTGAGCATTCAACATTTCTTAATTTTTACATTTTTACATTCATTCCGCCTCTACAGGGACCTCAAATTAAGTATATATCTGGATTATTGTTTAAGAGTTCTCCAATAACTCAATCAACTTGAGGGAAGTAGCTACAAAAAACTGAATAAAATTACACAAATCAAGCTGACAAAAACAAGAGGGGAGGAAAAGGAAGGCTTGGTCAAACAAAAAAAGGGGTGGGGACCATCATCCAGATGCTATTACAATGCAATCAGTCAATCCCACGTTAGGGGATGAACGCTCTACGCAGCCCTCAGGTAATCACGCATGCTTTCTGTGTCCAGATAAGACCAACAAAGACTCCGTCTCGGCAATCCAAAGGGGCATCTTCACGCTGTGTCTGGACGGGGCCATGCCTCACGTGAGCAGTGAGCTGTACCGCAGCTGTGCTGCCGCCCAGATGTTGCACGGAGGAGGCAGCCAGTGGAACAGCGGCAACCGCTGGTTCGACAAGACGCTGCAGGTGAGCAATATCCTACATAATCCTCATAATCCAATATAGAATAAGCAAATGTTCATTTATACCCGTTTAATTATAATGACTGTTTACATTCATATTTATATGTAGACATTTAGAAGGCACTTTTATTGAAAGAAACATACAAATGAGGGGACAAAGTGCTATTCTGTAGGCATGATTCCCTTGTTCCTTCAAGAGATTATTGTACTGGGTTATTACCACTTATAACCACTTATTACCACCATTTGGTCCACAAATAAGGACAACCTCAATTTAGACTACCTTATGTTGTGTTTATAAAGTTGTCTTATTAAATGGAGACAGAGGTCAGTCGTGTCTTAAGATTACCTTGAATATATTCTTTCAGACTGTTCCTGGTCTGTGTAAGGGACCCGACTTAAAAAGGACAAAAGGTGTTCAAAAATTGGAAAAACTTCAATTTAATATTGTCAAATTGCAAAAGAAGTCAAATGATAAATTCCTTAGATTGGGGCTCAACTCAACTGAGGTCAACTGACCAGTAACAAAACACAAACAAAACTGACCTGCAGACAAAGAACCAAGTCTGCTTAAATAGGGGTGGAATAACCTAAACTTTCCACATGAGGGTGGTACAACATAACAGAGGAACAACAAACCAAAAAAAACACAAAAACTAGCATAAACAAATTAAGCAAAATCCTATTTAACTTAACACAAATAAGTGAATATTAAAATAACAACATAAATGAGATAAACCTCAACAAATAACCCTCCCCCTTCAGTCTTTTTGAATAGTGGTATGTTCCTGCCTTTCCCCTCTAGCTGGTTTGTGTTTGCAGAATCTCAAAGAAAAAAGCAAGTGTGAGTAAACCATTCAGACAAATAATAACTGAAGTGAGCACCCAATAGAAAATGTATGTCTACATAAAATAACTTGATCTTAACTTATGCATAGTGTAATTTTGGAACTAATAAATGTATATTATGAAAAAGAAAACTAACACCTCATACACCACAGTTCGGTCATGTTGCCATTAAGATTGTATATCACCGGCTACTAAGAACACAACTTGTTGTAAATGTCAGATTGATCACATTTTGAAACAAGCAACTCCTGAAATCTGAGTTTTGTTCATTTTCAGTCCGAAGTTTATTCTAAATGAATCAACTTTGTTGTTGGTTTGTACATTTTGGGAATCTTCCATGTTATTTTACTCACAGGTCTTCATGAGTATGAAATATGAATAAGCTTCCTGTTTAAAATGATTCTATGATGAATCATGATTTGTCTTTTTAGACCAGTCTTTTGCAATTTAGCAGATTAGCAACGGCTTGAAGTGAAAGACAACAGGAATGCACTGTATGCTTATACGTGTATGCTTCTTTTTTCTTTTTTTCAGTTCATTGTTGGAGCAGATGGGACCTGTGGTGCTAACTATGAGCATGCTCCAGCAGAGGGTCCACCCATCGTGGCCTTGATCGACCATGTTGTGGAGTACACGTAAGCAGTCGATTGATTAGAGATTAGTGGTTTATTTTTATGACCAGATTTAGTCACAATCTCCTTCTTATTTTGTGTAATTTGACTTCTATTCCTGGCATTAACAGGAGGAAGCCAGAGACAGCTCCAGCCTCTATGGGCGCTTTGCCAATGCCACATAAACTCCATTTCAACATCACACCTGAGATCAAGAAGGATATAGAGGAGGCCAAGCACAGCATAAACAAGTGAGCCCCTATTTTTGGCTGACTTTGCACTGCAAACATTTATCCTTCTGGTAGTCAAAACAGTCTGCCTATCACAATTGGGCCATTTTTCCTCCCGCAGATTGGCTCAAGAAGTGGAGATTAGGGTTCATGTATTTAGCCACTTTGGAAAAAATGTCCCCAAAGCTTACAAGATGAGCCCCGACGCTTTCATACAGATGGCTCTACAGCTAGCCTTCTACAGGTAAGAAGTTACTCTGGCACATTAGGTGGCATTTTGTTCTCTTCTCCACTCAAATGTAAGCACAGACTTGTGTTTGTTATGATGTTCAGGATTTAATTCACCAGATGGGGGATGATTTTTTTTGTATTTTTTTATTTTAATCTAACAGATGGTGCTTTATTAAGAATAATATTTCTCACTTTTCTGTTGGCAGGATGTACAAGCACTCCTGTGCCACATATGAAAGCGCCTCCCTGCGCATGTACAGACTGGGTCGCACAGACACGATCCGATCAGCCTCAAGTGCCTCCGCTGCCTTCGTCAAAGCTTTCGATGACCCCAGCAGACAGGTCTGCAACTGCTTTTAAACCAAATTCAGCAGCTCATATAAAAAACAGGACTCTCCGTCTTGCATGATTTGTTTTTATTACTAAAATCAGTGAGGAATCACGGTGTACTGCATTTCCCTGTTGGGTACCTTTATAGAGGTTCTGTAGTATAATAGGTTTGAAACTATTGTAAAAAATCCCCAGTTTTCTGAGTATGTACATTAGTCTGCAGTGCCCATCTTAAGAATTTTTTAAAGTGAATGTAACAATATCAATGTGAATATATGAGTCTTCTTTATTTTGTCAGAAAGTTTTATTTAGTATGGAACTGCATTGCATTCACTGAAAAACAAAAATTAGACACCTTATCTCGTAATCATGAGAAAAGATCTCGTAATTATTAGATCTTTTGTCATCATTACGACACAAAGGCATAACAATTGCAACAGTGCGATGCGCTTCCATATTTTAAGTTAAACCTTAAGTAAATTTAAGTCTACTTTTCAGAGAAACGGCAGTTCTAACGCTAATTTGTCATGTTCATATTTTTCTATCTCTCTCCTGCTCTGCAAAGAACAAAGAGAAGGCGGACCTGATGGAGAATGCCGTAAAAGCCCACAGGGCCTACACTAACATGGTGAGTGTTCGCAGCTCCATGATTCACAGTAAAGGGAAATTCTTATTATCCCTGCAGTCAGCATTGTACACGTATGACTAAGTTTGTGCTGCACAGTTCCCTTCTCAACCACAAAAAAAACACCCCAAAAACCAAAGGCCACTATGGTGTTTTGGTACTTTACTGCTGCTAAGATATTGTGGACAGTATCTGTGTTATAGTTAGAATCACTCCCAGCAGATAGATAATCCAGTCTGATCAGCATGTATTAACTTGTATTTCAGTGATCAGAGCCTGAGGGGGAAACATTTAAGAGTGCTCCAAGTGCCCTGGGTTCAACTAAATGTTGTCAAGTCAGATCAAGTTTCTCCAAAAATACTCAAATGAATCTGTTACAGTTTGATTTATGTTTATATATTAGCTTGCTAGCTCTTACATAGATGTAGGCTGATCAGGTCACTTCAATTTGTTACAAGATTTATACTCTCCACTAAATGTTACTAATCAGACAATGGCTGCTCAAGTCTGACTATTGTGTGGTCTCTTCAGTCTCAGTTCCTTCCTGGTCTTGTTCTTGAAAGACTGAAAGATTCAGAATTAGGCTTGTCCCGAACCGATATTTTGATTGGATCGGCCACCGAAATTTGCAAAAAAATGCGTATCTGCCGGCATGAGAAAATGCCGATCCAGACTCCGATCCAGTTTTTTTTTTCCATTGTGTATTATTCAAACTCACCTAATTCAGCTGGCTAGTTGTTATCAGAGTAAATCCCTTTTAAACATGAGTCTGACAACTAAGTAAGTAGGCTAATTTAAACTTTAATACATGCTCCGCTAAGCCGGCATCGGTATCGGGACATCCCTATTCAGAATACGATTAAGCGTGTCCTTTGCTTCTTTTCAGGCGGTCAGTGGTCAGGCCATAGATCGGCACCTGCTGGGCCTGAAGATGCAAGCCCTGGAAGAGAATCTCTCCGTGCCCGCAGTGTTCAAAGACGCCGCCTACGCCAAAGCCCTGCACTACCGACTGTCCACGAGCCAGGTACGGCTGGAAAACGGCCACTTGTAGCATGTGTAGCAGACGGGAACTAAGACTCTAAATTCTGCTTCCCTCTCAAGGTGCCGTCCAAGACCGACTGCGTCATGTGTTTCGGCCCGGTCGTGCCCAACGGTTACGGCGTGTGCTACAACCCTATGAATGACCACATCAATTTCGCCGTGTCGTCTTTTACCGCATGCGAGGAAACCAGCGCCGGGCGTCTGGCACAGGCGGTGGAGGGCGCACTGGTAGATATGAGAGCGCTGCTGGAACAAACTCCCAAAGCCAAACTATGAAGAAGTCGTAGTTGAATTGGTCGAAGCACATCAACAACCACTCGCTGTGGTTTAAGTACTCCTTACTTGATAGTTTCAATCAGCGTTCGGTGATCTAATCGTGTTTTATGGTCATCGATTTGCACGTTGGAATGCTGAACGGCGACTGCTGAGTCGCTGCTTTTTCAAGAGGAACTTTGAATTTGTTTCCATGTGCGTGATGCCTTCGACAGTTTTCAAATCACAATACAACCATAAGGTATCCGTTAAATGAATGATATTGAATGTTACACATGTTTAGATGTCAATGATGAAATAATCATGTGATCAGACAAAAGTGATAATGCACTTGTGTCCATTTATTTAAATTAAGTCAGTAGTTTCAACTTTTCGAATGTGATTTTTTTCTGATCTTGGAAATTCCATAACATAAAATGTTTGAATTATTGGACCCTTCGTCCGACACAATTTCTTGGATTGTTGAAAACAATCAATAAAAAAAAAGTTTAAATGGTCCCTTTATTATTAGTAAATTACTAACAAACTTCATGTACAAACTTATTCTAACACAAAATTGTAAACCTTGTTTAAATCTCTTATCTTGTTTAGGCTCATCATTAGATAATTTTGTGTTCCTTACTTGTAATTTGGTACATTTTCAGAGACAAACCAGGCAGTACCATTCAAGACTTTTATTAGTATTCTAATTATGGAGACATTATTGCACTCTATTGTTTTACGTTTTACCAGTAAAAGGAGCAAACAAGAAGACAAGGTTCCTAAATTCAAACTTGAAACTTTTTTTTTTTAACTTTAACACTTTTTGTGCCTTAAACTCAAACCTCTTATCCTTTTAGTCTACACAATTCTGTAAATTTCTACCTACCTAATTTTATACAGGGAAAAAATTAAAAAAGCAAAGTCTAATGGCCCAAAAGGTTTTTGATCCCTGGATGACATTAAGAGGAATTTGTTAAATTACAGTGACGGAGAAATTAAATAAAATATTCTGGTTGTGTATGAACAGGTTTGTACTAATAGTTTTTTTTGCTTTTTTTTTATAAACAGCAGATAGCTTGTTAGAGATGTTTTTAACAATAATTAGAATCTTGAAAATAGGTTTGATCAGAAAACTCTGAGACTGTTCATGGTGGAGTGATGGTACCATCCATTAAAGCATTAATATTTAATAAAAATGGATTAACAAATGCTTTGAGATTTCACTTTGGATGGGTTGCAAGGAAAGACCATTACTTAGGTTATTAAGAAAGAAGATCCTTTATCACAAAGTAAGAAATTCAAAAAATATTGCAGATTAAAGGTGTGAAAAAATAGGATAAAAATTTTTCTTCATCATTTAAAGCCATTTAATAATTTAAATGAACCTTTAGGAATTTATACGGCTAGCAAGCTAGCATGCATGGTCCTTTCCATTATATGGAAGAAACATAAATCCTTATATAAAAGAATTGAATGTAAATGACTACTGTGAGGCCTTGGAGGAGGGGAGATCACTTCCAGGCAAGTCTTAGGATCAAATGCTGTTGCGAGATCTCACCAAAGGTCCGAAGCCCACGGGGGACATGGTTACAACAGCTAATACTCCCCTCTTTAGATGCACACAGATGCACAGCGGTGTTCCTCAAAACTGAAGAGCACATCCTGTGTGTGTGTGGCAATGGCAGAACTCAGACCACTCTAAGAAAAGCTTCCCAGGCTGACACAAGCCTTTTCATTTCCCTGTCTGACCACTAAGGACCGACTCCCTTCTTTACACACACTCTTTGTGCCTGTGTCACAGCAGCTGCTTTACCAGTCCTAAGTGCTTCCAAGAACACCCCTTTCCTTTTTTTTTTTTTTTTTTTTACAGATATTTTACATTGAAATTAACAGTGGAACAGGACAAATTTTAGGATGGGTGTTGATTTCCATTCACTTTGTCCATGAAAAGAAATGTACAGATTTCAAACCTGTGCTGCCAAAATGTGAAATAGTTGCGTTAACCGGATTCAGTTGGTTGGTCCCTGTACCTGCTGCCATTAGGGTCAATAATACTCAAACATAATGTCTCCTTTCATCTGTATGCAGATGACTTACAAATCTATCTGCCTGTCCTGCCAAACTCTCCAGAGGCCATTGACTCTATCCACAAATGTCTTAGTGACATCTAGCTCTGGCTGTCTCAGAACTTTCTTTGCCTGAATGAGAACAAGACTGAATGCATTTTGTTTGGTAAGACAGATATGCATATGTCACCTAGTTTTGGTTCTCTGGCCCCCCATTGTTCTTTTGTGATTAAAAATCTCGGTGTAAAATTCGACTCCAGCTTAAAGTTCGACCAACAGATTAATGCGGTCGTGAAGGCAAGCTTTTTTCAGCTTCGCCTTCTTGCTAAGGTGAAGCCCTTCCCGAGCCGCTGCGACCTGGAAAAAGCCATCCACGCCTTTGTTAGCTCCCATTTGGACTATTGCAATGCTCTGTACTTTGGACTAAGTCAAACATCCCTCCATCGCCTTCAGCTAGTACAGAATGCAGCTGCCCGATTCCTTACTGACACCCGTAGACATGACCACATTACACCTGTCCTCCACTCCCTACACTGGCTCCCGGTACAGTACAGGATTCAATTCAAAATACTCTTGTTTGTCTTTCGAGCAGTTAATGGCCTCGCGCCTTTGTATATAAGTGAAATTCTGAGGTTTCACCAGCCCAGCAGACCACTTCGGTCTGCTGATCAACATCTGCTGGAGGTCCCACGGTCCAGGTGCAAACAGTGGGGTGACCGCTCTTTTGCAGTGGCAGGACCTAAACTGTGGAACTCTCTGCCCACTGAGTTACGTTCATTTACTGGCCTGCCACTGTTCAAAGCTCAACTTAAAACGTATTTGTTCAGAATGGCTTGTTGCACATAAAATCTCTGTATACTGGGTTCCGTCACCAATGTGTTTGTCTTTGTATATTTCGATAGTTTGATCTGTTTTTATTCTGTAAAGCACTTTGGTCAGCTCCGGTTGTTGTAAAGTGCTATATAAATAAACATTGATTGATTGATTGATTGATTGATTGATTGATTGATTGATTGATT